GGAGAGGGGTTTGCACAAATACTTGCAAACGTCTGCTAGCTCTGAAGACTGCCAGCCATATTCAGGGACTCAGCCTTCTGAGCATGTCTGTCCTGACTTTCCCAGTCAAGCGATTCTCTCCTAGCTGTATGGGGGAAATCTCAAATTTACAAATTTGGTTTTCTGTCAAATTTAAGAGGCTTCCATCCCATAAACCAAGCTGCTACAAGTAAAAAAAAAAAAAAAAAAAAAGCATGGAAAGCAAATTCAAATTCAAATATAGTCTCACATAAGAATACCTTTATTTTTTCTTTTACTGAAAAATATTATGAGGGAACTAAACATAAAATACACTGTGAAACAATTGCTTGTGATAACAGAAAGAAAAAAAAAATAGCTACCGTTATAAATTTAGTGAACTCTGAATTTGCCAGCTTCTCCCTGGTTGAATGTGACCAGCTTGCCTCAACAGGTCCAACCAGGCCTCATGAGCTCATGTCTCATCTTCATGAAGGTCAAGCAGTGCTCAGTGCAGAGGTATGTATACGGAACCTCAGTGGATGGTTCCAAACCAGAACAGAAGGAGAAAGGTCCAAAGGGAAGTGAGTGTCCTCCAGCCATCAATCAGTATCCTGGCCTCTTGTCTCAGTGTGGCCCTAGCTGGGAAGGTTCCTTACTGATCAACTACATATTTGACTCTTCAAGGGGTATAACAGTATTGAAGATGGTCGATTTTTTTTTCTTTTTCTTATTCAATGCAAGTGTTTGTATAGGCTCCTCACGTTGGGTATTCTAAGAAAGATCTTAATTTTTTTTTTTAGATTCTGAACCCTCTAATTTTAACATATCTGTGGCCACACACTATGATTATTGTACTAACGACAGTGATGATAAATAATGACAGTCGCGACACTTAGTGCAACGCAGCATATCAGCACTCTCCCCTGGCTTTCACTCCTGCTCTCTGCTCTCATCCTCATAGAACCCCAGGAGGATTAACATTTGTTCCATTCCACATTCCAGGACAAAATCCAAACCAAACATGGCATTTTCTGAGAATCTTGCATTTCTCATCCTGTGGACCAAATAAGTAGGCTGACATTTTAAAATATGTTTAGCCCCAAACTGATTTAGTTTCAGGATAAATGAAAATGTTGTGTGCAAGGTTTTGGCAAATTGAAAGTTTCTCAGCTATAGGCGAAGGGAGGCACACCCGGCAAGAAGTGAGGCTCCCCCAGGAAAATTAATCCTTCCTTACACTTGCTACAAGACTGGGTACAGCTGCCCCGGGGCTGGACCTTGTGTCTGAACCCAGACTAGGCAACCATGGATCTCAGCTCCTTCAACAATCCTTAGATCTGCCTTCTGAGGTTCCTGTCCACAGGCACCCTCTGTGTGAGCGTCTGCTATTTCTATTCTGGTAAGAGCTTACATAGTTATCTGTTCAAGTCCACTTGGGAGCAGGGGGAGGAACCAATTTCAAAAGGACTCAAGGAGGTTATAAAAATCTTGATTAAAACTTTCTAAATTTTCAGTTGTGATATTTTTATTGACTTCAAACTTAAGGTTAAATTAGAATTAAGTCAAACTACTTCCTTCCTCCACATGAATGAAGGGTACCCTTAAGAATTCACACAATGAAAAGATTCCCATTTGAATTTTAAAACATAAGCAAACATAAGACTCTTTAAAATTATTTTGTCAATACATCTTAAATTACATAAAATAATTATGACATGAATATTAGATGTTTCTCTTTTAGTTGCCAGAAATAAGCTGTTCTTTTGACATTAAACAGATTTATCTTCTACATGCAGTTAGTTGCTAATATTTGAGGGTGCATTATTTGTGGTCTTCTACATATATACATACATTCACACTTATCTGCTATTTATAGAATCTTTCTCTCACTTTTGGTAGTTTTTTTTTAATATAAAGAGAGAGAATCTAAAATGTGAATTCAGTATATGAAAATAGTGGTGATTTGTGCAATTGGGAAACTCCTAGATTTAGAATGTCAAAACCTAGGTTGAAGAGATGATTTGTTTTTCCCGTTTTTGCTGTATTTTGCTCAGAGAAGTCACTTGACATCTCCACTCAGGCATTCTCACCTGTATCCGCAATGCCCAGAAGGTACCAGAGTGGCATTACAGGCAGGGGGACTGTGAAAAGCCAGGGACAGCCATCAGCTGGGTGTATTAGGAGGAGCAAGTGTACTCAGAACCATCTCAGCACCAGGGGTTATTAATTGTAATGCCTTAGATATTGCTGTGTCAAGGAGTTTTATTGAATTTGAAAAGATTTTCTTGTAAATGTCATTTACAAGTCATTCCTGTCATAATATGCCCTGGGTTATAAACATATGAAGCATCTTAGAACCACAGAAAAATCATGTGGATATTAAATGACTACTCTATAATGATTGCTTATCTCTGAATCAAACCAAATCATATCCAATGAATAACATGTAAGAAGGAAAGATGAACGTTTCCCTAAATAAACCAACTAGAGTCAGCAGGGGACTGACTGCCCATCTTGGAGGAATACTGGCTTCAGGGTATGAGTGGCAGTGAGTTTAACTCCTTAGTTCACCTGTGAGGAAGGACTTTCCAGGAAAGGGCCCTGCAGAGCAGTGGGGCCAGGAGATGTGGAAGTGGGGCTGGATCCTAGGCTCCCAGGGGCCTTGAGGTAGAAGATCAATGAGGAAGGCAAAGTGTTCAAAGTGATGGCCACCAGGGTAGAGTCCAGATCATGTACACTCTGAGGCTTTATGAAGGAGTTGATTTCTTCCTAAATGCAATAGGAACTTCTGAAAAGTGTTAGAGACTATGATAGCCTCTGAGTGAGGGCAGGGTGCCATGGAAGGAGGTACATGCTTCTCTGGAGTCTACAGGCACCTGTGCTCCAAATCAGGCCATAGAGCCTGAAGCAGGGCAGGCTGTAGTCAAGGACAGAGCAATACTGTGTATCCAGATGTGGGAACAGAGAGGAATGAGGACCTGTAAGGGATCCAAAGTAAGTGCAGAAAAGTCCAAGATAGCGCCTTTCACTGTGTCCTCACATGGTGGAAGGTGGAAGGGCAAGAGTGTCGAGAGGGTTCCCTGAAGCTCTTTTATAAGGCCCTACTTCATTCCAGTGGGCATACCGCCATAGCCTTATCATCTCTTAAAGGCTCTGCTTCTTAATGCCATTGCTTTGAGGATTAAGTTTCCACATGACTTTTGGAGGGGACACATTCACATCATAGCAACCAGAGACCCATGATGCCTCCAGCTTTGAGTGCAGAGAAGACAGAGGACTATGGCAAACCCAGCTGTGTTCGCTTGGAGTCAATGAGACACAGAGGGTGCTGCATGTGGGTGGGCCACAATGAAGGGAGGAGCCTGTCCTTGGAGGGATGTGTTAGTTTCAAGGTTGCCTGCTGGAGGTGAGGAGTGTCAGCTGAACATTCAGCTTGACTTCAAAAGAGGGAACAGGCAGGAAAAGCAGATTTGGGGACAGTTGGGAACAAATCAAAAAAGTTGTGGGGAAAATGGAGCCACAAGGACAGAGTATGCTCTGAGGACAGTGTGAAGGAAAACAGGGCATCAGATCCCATCAACTCTCAAACAATATTTCAAGGAGGGAATGATTGGCAGGTCAAACCCTGCTGGGAGGTCAATCCAAATCTTTCTGATTTAGCTACTGGGTCGATGAAGTCTGTTTCTTAAGGAGATTGGAGGAGAAGCTATATTTCATTGAGAGGGGGAAGAAATGGAAGAGGGTAATGGAAACAGTGGGTAAGGGCATCTGTGGGTAGTGCTAATGATGGAGTTTGTGTGGGCATGTGTGTTATTCTGGCACAATTGGTCTCTGTCTGTATCCTTCCCTCTTAAATTAATGACCTACATATGCATGGAAAATCATTATTCTTTAATTCAACCCTGTACTCCTGGTAGTATGAGACTTACTCCAATCACTCCCTGACCTCAGGGCTTCGCTCTGTTATTTTGATTGAGTTGCTTGAGCTCTTTGGTGGGTTCTATGGTAGCTCTTTGTAGCAACTGTGGAGTGTGGTTGGGATACATATCAAATTCTCACCATGTTTACTAACTTGATAGCCTCTAGTCACACTTGGCTGTTTCAATTTGAACTTGAAAAACTGAAGTTAAAGTAAAATTCAGTTGTTCATTTGCATTGGACATATTTCAAATGCTCAATAGCCACATGAGTTTAAGGATCTGTATGAGAGAACAGATTGTGGAACATTTCATCATCAGAGAAATATCTAATGGGCAGTGCTAAACTAGAAGTAGGAGGCAACCCAGAAGTAATTAAACAAAGTTTGAGGAACTTGACAAGACACACAGAAAATACTTTTCTAAGATGGTAGTCAGGAAATGTGCAAGATAAATGAAGGAAGAGAGAGCCAGCAGCCAATGGAACTCAGAATTAAGAAAGCAAAATGTCCCATTGAGCAATATTTCCAACAAACTTCACTCCAACTCAGCTTCTGCCTACGTCCACCCTCTGAAACAGAATTGCAGCCTCTTCCCAGAAACAACAACTTCTTCTTCTCCTTCTCCTCCCCCTCCTCCTCCTCCTCCTCCTCCTCCTCCTCCTCCTCCTCCGTCGTCTTCTTCTTTTTTTAAACCAGGTCCTTGCTGACATTTTGTCAGAATTCTTTCTACTCCTTGTCAAATGGCAGGATCACAGTCTCATAAAGGACTTTGTGACTCACAGGGAAACACAAGTTTCCAAGGAAGAATAAAGAAGAAAAGGGAAAATGTGAGTGAATGAGTAATGAAGGAGAGCTGGCCCAACAAGATCTATAGGAATTAACATTCTGTGATACTGGCCCAAGAGTAAAGCATTTACTCATTGGAAAAGAGTCCATTTCCCAGAAGCAAATGCTGGGAGAGAAAAACTTAATGGATAACAAGGAAAGAACAATTAATTCAATAAATGGTTTAGAAAAATTTGTATGCTTGGTGGAAAAAAGTCAATTAAGACCTTTAATCCATATCACACACAAAAATGAACTTGGGATGTGGCTCAGTGGTAGAGCATTTGCCTGGCATGCAGGAGGCCCTGGGTTCAATTGCCAGCACCAGGGACTAAAAAAAAAAAAAAATTGAAGAAGAATTAAATTGTAAATGTTGAAATCTGACACATTAAAAATAATCATTTGGGTTTTTAAAAACAGGAACATTTAACTGCTATCTAGCTAACCATCCAAGTAGCTAATCAGTGGAAGAAATTATAAAACAAGCTGCAAATATTTGATGACTACCTAGGATCAACAACAGCATTACAAAGACACTGGCCTTCTCCTGTAGTCACAAATGCTTACAAGTGGTCATTTTGTGTCCTACCACATATATGGCAGCTCATCCACCTCGCGATAGCCACTGCTGACCCTCTATGGTCACAGCCAAGGTAAAGCTCATGTGCCATCTGGGATTTCAGACACTTGCCGGAAATGAAAAGCTTGAAGAGTGAAAAAAAATACTGTAAAATTGCTTAAGATATATTTTAAAAACTGGAGAACTATATGCCACAAGGATTATAAGCAAATTGTTTCCAGCGGAAAAACAGCCAAAGAGTTACTCATAGTAAAGGAAAAACAGACTAACAAGCCAACAAATTCCTCAAACATCAGTAGGGAAAAGACGTTTGAATTTTTAAAACATTATGGTGTCATTTTTTTCTTTTTTTTGCCTAGTAAATTTGCAATCCATTTTCTTCTTCTTTTTTTTCTTAATAAATCCCTGATTTCTGTTAGACTTCTTTGTCGGGGACAATATCATTCACTCCAACTTGGTACTGAATTGCCACAAACTGATTGTCAGTAAGTAATGAAACTTAAAATTATCCATGCAAGTTACTCCTTTTCTAGAACCATTTTTTAAATAAATAATACAGTCATATGTTCAGTGAGGTTTGCTCTATTTATGCAGAACTGTTAACATCAGAAATGTTCAACACTAAGGGAATGACTAAATAATCTTACTATGCTATTAAGATGAAATGATAACTGAAAGTTAGAATTTTTAAGATATTTTTAATTATGTGGCAATGTAGAATGCAAGACACATATCTGAGTGGGTAGTCTGCTCACCGGGATATGTGTGTGTGTGCACATGTGTGTGTGTGTGTGTGTACACAAAGAAAAAGCAAGTATAGATTTCCCAACAAGGGGATTGCCTGCTTGCACCCTAACAGTTATGTAGATTGAAGTACACACCCACCTTCAAAAATAACTGAACAGGTTCTTGCAGCTAAGAACAACTAACATACATAATTACTTCCTTTTATTTTTTATACATATTTTCCAAAATATTTTCAAATGACCATTTATTACTTGCACCAATGCTAGAACACAGGACTTTAAAAGAAGTTTCTGTGAGGAAGTGACTGTGGCTTTTCTTGGTCTTATATTCAACTTTCTTTGAAGGGACCAAGAGGTCTCTATAACTGTGTATCTCTGAGTGTGGGAAACCACAGAGAAGAAACCTGGAGACATTTGATCTCAGTTGAGACTAACAGAACCTGACTTTATCAGGAGACATCCTGGGGTTCATCGATATGTCTAGTGGAAGACCCAGGGCCCTGAATGGAGTCCTTGAATCTACAGCATGTGTGTGGCTTATTAGGTTATTCTCTAAATTCAACTGAATAATACTTCTAGAAAAATTAGTAAGCAAATTCGCATATGCCACACACACTATGTCCACAACAGACATTGTCCCTCCAAAATTTCTTATGCTGAAATCTCTTATATTAGATTTCTTACATTGAAATCTGAGAATGTGACTATTAGAGACAGTCTTTAAAAAGGTGATTAAAGTAAAATGAGGTTGTTAGAGTGGAACACCAAACTCTGTACTGATAAGAAGAGGAGATCAGGACAGGGGCATACACAAAGGGAAGAGCAAGAGGACCTAGGGAGAAGATTGTCTCAGGAGCCACCAAATCTGCTGATTCCTTGATATTGGATTCCAGCCTCCAGAACTGTGAGACAATGGGTTTCTGTTGTTTACCTCATTTTGTTATGGCAATTCCAGGAAGTTCATAGATCATGCTTCAAAAGCAACTTGTCATTTAGCACTACTCAGAAAATGGACTCTAACCTGACCACGAATGAAAGGCCTCCATATGCATAAACTTTGTCCTCTTTATTCCTTGTCATCACTATAGATAAGATAACCCTGAAAATCTGATGTGACACTTGACATGGAAATATGTGCCTTCCCATCTAATTTAAATATGGTTAAATATATGTGATGAGAGCTAAGCATATGTTTTTCATGTGGCAAACAGAAGGACTAGGCACTGAAGTACCATTTCTCATCTCTCTCTCTCTGAGGCCCATTTGAAGTACATAGCAAGGAATTTAGGGACTAGAGCCAGGTTAGGGTGATGTGGTCTGTCCATTGGGCTGATACACTTTGCTTAGTGACCCATTGAGCAAGTCTCCAAATCTGTCTGAGCTATTACAAAACAAGAGTCTGAGCCTCAAAACTATACAGGCGGATGGGTAATGGATGACCTGCTCACACTCTGGCATAATTTTCAAAATGTTGTGTTCAGAGAAGACAGCAGAGGGCACAAAGCTTTTCCTCAGAAGTACGTATGACCCTAAATACATTAAAGCTACCAGGAAGTGCCATGCGTATCCACAGGGCTGTGACCTAGTTCAGCCTTCCTGTCTACTGAGTTGTGTGTGTTTTTTTATTTTTTATTTTTTCCTAAGCTGGAAGCCCACGGCCTCCAGGGGTGGGCTGCCTTGGAAGGCCAAGCTGGAAGAAATTGGTTGCGACTCAAGTGTGCCTCGGCTGAGATTTCCAAGAGTAAATGCGAGTGTCATGAGAAGGCAACGTGGCCCAAGCTCTGGTCATCCAAATATCAGCATCTGCATTTCACTCAGAGCACAATATTAGGAAGCCTGCGGGGTTCCCAGGGCTCTTTTCCTCCTTGAAATCTCCCCTTTGATCAGCAAGTGTGACTCATGGATTCCAGCTCTGACACAAATGCCTTGAATGAATGCAAACTAACAAGAAGCAGAAGACGGCTTTCTTTAAGCATATTCCAGAAAGTTCTGACAAGTTTGGGGAAATTGTGAAGCCATTAAGTCATAATAGCAGAACACAGCTCTGACTGAGCCAGAAAATATGCAAATGAAGAGAAGCAGTGGGCAACAGATTGCTGTGGAACCCAGGATGCAAAACAGACCTCCTGGGAGTGGGTGTCACCCTCATGCTGAGAAAATGTCTGGAGTTTTTCACTAAGAACTTATAGGAGGCTTGGATAGAAACAGCCCCCTGATCTGACCTCCTCAGTGACCAAGAATACAGGTGCCTGAATTCAGATTTGCAATTTCTGAAACCCACAGCTAGACATTCTGAGATGGATGCTGAGATGACAGGCGTAGGGGACATTTCATGCATTGTGGAGAGTGAGATTTTACTCAATCTTGTGTTGACCAGTGATGCTTTTAGGATTTTATGATTGAAGCATAGTGTGGTTGGTAAAAAGAAAGCACCTCGTGTTATGACATGCTTGTTGCCTAAACCTAAGTCTGTTTTTATTCTTAAAGAGAAAATTATACCATACCTTTTTTTGTTGCTGTTTTTGTTCACGATTTTTTTTCTTTTTCATTAGTGCATGATAGTTATACTAATGGCAGGATTCATTTGACTTATTCATAAATGCATATAACAAAGTTTTATTTTGATTCCTAATACTTCCTTCCTCCTTTGTCTACCTGACCCCCTTCCTCTACTCTATTGGTCTTCCTTCTATTTATTTATTTTTCTTTTTTAATTGGTGTAACATAGTTGTATATAAAATTGGAACTCCTTTAATATGTATTGTTTAATCAAGATCCACTTCCATGAACATCTTATGCTGTAATCAATAATATTTTTTAAGCAACTTGATAAACATACACACAAAACCCATCTTTAGTATATAACAATAATAAATATGAAAGTGCTATGTTCTGGGTATTATTGTACAGTACTAATATAACAACATCACATTTGTGCCCCCCTTACCTGTTCTCACTTCTGGGGAGCATTGGCCCATGTTGTAAGATTGTCAGGCCTCTTGGATGAGCTGGTGGGACTGCGAGTGTACGGAATCCTGAGCCAGGATCACAAAGTGATCTCATATATTTCAGCACTGGGACCAAATCCCCACGCACCTTAAGAAGCACACACAATAGTGACAAACAGGCAGAATTCATCACAAACAGTAAACACCTCCAAATACTGCACTTATAGAAACTGCCATTGCTGCACTTTGGGGGTTCCCCTGACTCACCCCTGCTCTGCCATTCCTCAGATGATCTAGGGAAACTGGCTGCCTTGTCTGTGCCTCATTCCTCATCTCTAATGGGGTGAACGATCATATATCTTGGGGTTTTGAAAGGAATTTGTGAGTCAATATTATGTAAAGGGCTAAAGTGTGCCTAGCATTGAACAAGGCTTCAACTAGCTACTAGAGAAAGAGGCAGAAATAGAATCAAATGCTGCCTAAGCCAAACCATCCCTCTGTGTGGAATATGGGTACAGGAGGCACACTGAAGTATGGGAAAACAGGGAACAGTTGAGCAAACTACACTAGTATTTAAGCTGATGTTTGGGGGAACCAACCAAGTGTCTGGAATGTTCTGTGTCTGGCACAATGCAAGGCATCAGGAGCATATCTGAGCATTATAATACTCACCTTACAAGAGTTCCAAGCCAAAGTCAGAAGGACCGGGTTTGTTTTAATGGTGTGACACAAATACTTAGAAATATAGGCAAAGGCTCTAGTAGCCCAGGAAGTCCTGACAGAGGTTACCTATTAAGGAAGTCTTGAAATACAGGTAAAATATCATGGAGGAAAGTAATTTGAAAAGGCTTAAAATCAGAGTTAGAATAATGAATCTAGACAGCACTGGGAATTAAATTACAGAAAGGCCTAAGAAGCATCAACCCCGAAATGGAGGATTAAGTTAAAAAATTCAGTATTGGAAACATAAAGTTTAAAACATTGTACTGAAACGACATGAAAGCATAATTTTTAAATCATCTTTAAAATTGTTTCAAATTCTATTTTTTTCTTTAA